CCGCACCGGGCCGTCGCTGGGGTCCTGGCAGGCCACGACCAGAAAGTACTCGTCGCCGTCCGGCGTGCGAATCCATCAGACACCCCCACCAAGGGGGTAGAGCAGGGCACTCGCGTGGTCCACGTCGTCGCCCTCGTATTCCATGGCGGCGTATTGTCCCGGCGTCAAATCAGCGTACCACACCTCCTCCTCGCCGAACAGGAGCAGCGCCACGGCCCCGATGTCCCGCAGTGGCCCGCGACCAGCAGGTGCGATTCCTCAAAAACCTCACGACCACCTGCACGGCGAGCGCTGCGCTGGCGCTGGCCCCCGCGTACGGCCAAAGGTCCGCCGCTACCAGACAGGCCGGCGGCGCGGCGCACGGCAGACAGACCACCTCCGGGCAACGCACCTCCGGGCAGGAGTGGCGCACCTCCTGCTCGTGGCCGCCCGCAGCACTCAGGGGGCCACCAGTCCGCCAGCACGTTCCGCGCCAGCTGGCCCGCCTCGGTGGCGAAGATGCCACTTGTAGCAGGGCGCGATCGGGCAGGTCTGCAGGCACGAGATCACCCATGCCAGGCCAATCAAGAGAGAAAAAAGGCTTGATCGTACATTATGGCAACGGGAGACATCAACCGCACAAAAGGCCCCCTCACCTTCCCGTGCAAGCATACACAGAGAGAGGGATCGGGGCAGATAGAGAAAGAGCGAAAGGGCGAGAGGGAGACAGATAATGAAAAGATAAACACATGAGGAAGCATGGGTAGAAAAGGACGCGAGGAGAAGCGAGTAAAACGGGGAAGGAGATAGACGGGGGAAAAAGGGTGCAATACATAAACAAGAAGAGAGGGAGGGAAGGACAGAATACCAACCTTAAACGTACACTGGTTCTGGCAATCTCATGCTGGACGCATGATGGGCCTGGCCAGGGCTGGTAAGGCGCACAGCTGGCACCCCTACGGGAGAAGAGAGGAGGGAAGGACGGAGGAGGGAGAGGAGGAGAGAAAACCGCGAAATCAAGATCCCACGCTGTGAAAACAGCTGCGAAGTACTGAAGCATTACGACCCGAGCTCTGGACACCACCATCCCGCCTATCTTTTCGAACCCGACCCAACTCTAAGGGTCCTGCATTTTCGCGACAGCCAGTGTCCGACGGAAGGACTGATCGGAGGGCGTCAAATGCCTTAGCCTATCTTGGGAGGGCCCATCTGGAGCCCCAAATCGGTGTAGGTGCCTTCCTGGCCAAGCCGGGTGGGCGTATGCGAAGATCCCGGGCCTGAGGTGGACCTAGCCAGGCCAGGCCAGGTGGCTAGCCGAGGCACGGCGGTGGCGGCCTTTGCGTCGCCCTCGCGCACAACAGCTGCTCGCTGGCCGACGCCGGCAACTCGCGGCGCGCGCGCGCCGCGAGACACGCTGCTCTGCTCCCCACTCCTTCGAAGCCTAAATCGTATCCTCCTCCTCCTCCGCCCCCCGTCCCCTGCTTGGGTCCTTGCATGTTCTTTCGAATGCGCTCAGGGCAGTCGGCATGTGACGAATTTCAGCAACACGATGCACGTAAGGATGATGTCGTCTCTCCGTTGGTGTGGCGCTGGCCCGCGGCGCAAGCGCGCGCCAATGGAAAACTACGTCAAGAGGTGGCGGACGTCAGTCGGGACAATACGGGAACGACGTCCCCTGAATCGGAAAGACACCTCTAACGTCTGCGCCTGGATAATGGACTTCTCTTCCCGACACCGCAGGCACTTCTTTCCATCCGCAACGCTACACTGGCCGTAGCCTGCTTTTGACCTACGAAGTAACGCATCAACTCAACCATCAATGCCGCTCACAACGCGTCTGTTCAAACAATTTGTATGTACGGTTTTATCCGAAGCGCTGGACCAGACGTAACCTGCCTCTCATATACGAAGTACTGCAGCAGCTCGGCTCTCAATGTCGCTCGCAAGCGCGTCTCCTCAAGAAAAGTGATGCACGCTCCAAAGCCTGCAAACCCACACACACACACACACACCGACGAGACCATGACGCCGGAGAGGCCTCAGAAACACCCAACGTAGTCTCAAGACGGCCGAAAATGCCACCAAAGTACCTCCAAAGTACCTCAAAAGGCAAAAATCATGGATTCCACATGAATTGATGCATGGTTTTCGCGCCCTCGGCTCTCTGGCGTCTGCACCAGAATGTGCCTCAAAGAAATGCCCAAGGGAGGCCCAGGAAGGGAAACCCGCAGAGGCCCTGAGAGCCCTCCCACAGAAGATGGCACCCACCCACCCCAACTGGTTCCAAGATTCCCCCTAAAAAACCCAGAGCCCTGGGAACCTTGACGAAGCTCCAAGAGGCCAGCACCTGGGTCGCCATCTGGCCCCGAAAATGCCCTCAGAAGCTTCAAGAGGATGCAGCAATGCTCAAAGAGATCCATCAAAGGCACCCGAGAATCTCCAATGACACTCCCAGCTGCACGAGGGAGGCCTCAAACAGAGCCCAGATAACATTTCAGACCGTCCCGTTGTCCTCGATATCCTCCTCGCTTTCCTCTTTCCTCTCACCGTCGTCGTTATCAACTTCATCATCTGCCTCCCTCTTCCTCATTATCCGAATCCCCAGATGAAGAAAGTATATCGACCATCCGCGACGTCACTCCGAGAACATCTCGCTTTATGCGCGACGCGCAATCTGTTTCAGTGCTCCCTCCCGAAAGACGCAGGATAAATGGACCCCATGCGCGGAGTAGCGGCTGCTCGGCGGCCGCTCCTCCGACGCACCCAGACACTTGAAAGCATCCCGTGCGCGCGACGGCGCCCAAGAAACAACCAGCAACCGCCCAGTAAACTCGGACGAGACTTCCCGGCGCCCTCAAGGCCTCATTTCGTCTGGGGTTCGTTCGGTCGAATGGCGTAAGCATCTGGAAGAAACTATATGGTAATCCATAGCGCAAACCAGGGTCATCATCAAGATCCCTTCGGATTCCTGCGGAACATTCGAAACTAGCATCATTAGGTAGCTTCGTGGGCTACCGAACGCTAATATAGTCTAAGGTTGTGCTAATTATTCGCGTGTGAGGCCATCAGACAAATAACAATATGCATTGCTGTGCGCGTGGTTGCCGCGTTTCGCTGCTCAAAATTGTTCGCGTCGCTCTCTCTCTCTCTCTATCTCTATTCCCCCCTCGTGTTCTCTCCCTCTCTATCTCTCTCTCCTTCAATCGCTCTCTCTCTCTCTCTCGTTCTTCCTGTGTCTCTCTCTCTGTCTCTCTTTCTCTCTCTCTCTTTCCCGTTCCCTCTCCCTGACCCCCGCGCAAAGTAGAAAGAATGAGGGCGATACGAACTTTCCCATTATATCGCTCTCCCTCTGTTCGGCAACGCAATATGAATATATATATATATATATCTGCTCTACTGGCACAGCCAGAGATGAACAGCATATCTGATAGCACTGAAGGGCCTGAGAGCAGGTCCGATGAATTTCGCACCGATCGAAGGCACTGTAGCGCGTGTCGAGACCCCAGTTTTGCTGAGCACGAGTGGGAAAATGGGGTATGCTTGGGGATATCCAGAAAAAACTTGAAATTGAGCCATCGTGTCCATGGAACGGACCGGTTCCCATCAAAACGGCGAGATTCTCAACCCGCAAACAACTTTCCCGAGCCAGCACATCCATGTGGCTTCGCTCTTTTATCACAGCCAGAAATGAACAGCATATCCGATAGCACTGAAGGGCCTGAGAGCAGGTCAGATGAATTTCGCACTGGTCGAAGGCACTGAAATGTGCGTCGAGACCCCGATCCCAAGATTGGGACTGGCCGCAGGCAGAACGCGAAGCGTCAAAAAAAACACATGCTCAACAACAAATTATGGATAGGGTTGTGCCACTAACTTCTTAAGTTTTCCAGCTGCCGTCTTTCCGACTGTGTTTTTATTTTTTTTTTATTTTTTTTTCAGTCGTGGCCGAACAACGGCCGCGTTGCATCGCGCACTTACGGACATTTACAAACTGCAAGCACCCGAGTGCGAGCAGGGACGCGTCACCGACAAAAACTCAACAGTAAACGTCTCAGCTCCAAGACGCCTCAAATAATGAAACTGTCGCGTAAGCCATATCATCGAGGTCACAGGGCTTTCGATGACCACCCGATTCTAGCGTCCAGGCGCAGACGACCAAGGGCCGCTGAGGCTCGCATGGGCGCGTCGCCTCAGCAGACCTTTTTAGCATCCTTTTCACCGAGGTCGGGGATGCCAAGCAGCCCTGGCCGTGAATCCCCGAAGGGGAGCGGGGCAGCCCCCCCCCCCCCTCCTCTTTGAGCCCTGGACCAAGCGGCGCGGGGGGGCCCCAGCCAGACAAGGCGACAGGACGGGGCACAGGAATGGGTGACTAGGAGGGCGCGCTGCTGGATGGCCCCAAGGGGGGGGGGGCTGGGAAACCCCTCTCCCCCCCTTTCCCCTTTCCCCGATGCGTCGCCGGGCCCCCCCCACCCCCCCCCTTTCCCGATCCGTCGCCGGGCCCCCCCCCCCCTCACCCCCTTTCCCGATCCGTCATCGGGGGGCCCCCCCCTCCCACCCCCCCCTTTCCCGGTCCGTCGTCGCCCTCCCCCTCCCCCCCCCCCCTTTCAAAATTGCGCCGGGGGGGAGCGGGCGGGGCCCGGCCCCCCCCCCCGCCCTGCGAATCCAACTCGCGAGTGGGATCGAGCTCCCCCCCCCTGCTATGGCCGAGAGCGCCCGCGGTCCCCGGGGCGGCGCGCTAGTCTGACCCGCAATGGCCATGGTACACTCACGCATGCGCACGCACCCGTGTTCGGCCAAAGCCCCTCCGGAGCCCTCCGGGCGAACAGCTCAGAGGAGGGCCTTCTGCAAAGGGGGGGGTCGTGTTCGCACTGGTCTTCTCTCTCTCTCTCTCTCTCTCTCCCTCTCTCTCTCTCTCTCTCTCTCTCTCTCTCTCTCTTTCTCTTTCGTGCCCCTCACCGCGTTTCAGGTCTCGCCTCTTCTCCCATCATTCAGTTCGCGCCCGGGCCCCGCGGAGAGCCCACCTCGGGGGCCAGGTTCGCCCCATGGGCGAACGGCCGCAGCACCTCCAAGACGCGGTCCGTCATGACGGGAAAACCCTGCAGCGACCGCGCCACGTTCTCCAAGATCGCGCCCGTCGCCTCGGCGTAGCCCTCGTCGCTCGCCAGGCTCAGCTTGGTCACCTCGTCCTCCTTCCCCTGCTGCTGCTGCTGCATGGTCGGCTTCTCTGCCTTGGCGCGGAAGAATTTCGCCGCGGGGCACTTCATCTCCAGCTTCGGCTTGTCGTCGAGCGGAGCACTCTGCCACTTGGCGCACATCTTCTCGAGCCTCACGAGGATCTCTGGCGCCTCGCCCTCCAGCGCGGCGGCGGCGCACACCTGCACGTTCCCCGCGTTGGCCACGCACTGCAACGTCACCTGCGCGTTGCCCTTCTTGGCCGGAGCTTCTGCCACCAGTGCCTTGGCAGGCACTTTGACCTTGGCCCTGGCCAGTGACATCGCGGCCGACGACTCCCCCGGGCAAGCGTCCGACAGCCCGAGCATGAACATCCTGGCCTGGTCGTCGCGCCCTGCCACCTCGAACTTCGCCGTTGCCCGGCCCGGGGGGCGGAACAGGAGCACCAGCGCGGCAAACGCGAGCCGCTTCCTCAGCTTGAGCCCTGGCCAAGGTGACCGATTCATCAGCCAGCTGGTAGGCCGACGCCCCCAGGCACGCTCGCAAAACATCCGCTGCCACCGCCCGATCCTTCGTCAGCGCGCCCCCCAGCGCGCGCTCTGTTGGGCCCCGTCAAAACGCCCCGCCAAGCCTGCGGAGACTTCCCTTGGCCATGGCGATGTCTATAGGCCCTCTTGTCGTCGAATCCTGTCGGGGCCCCCGGCCTAGTCGCGCGATCGAACGCCGACTTGCAATCTATCGCACGAATCGCCGAAAACTTATTCGAATACTTGCCCCGGTTCTCCAAGCAGAACACGGGGTGCAGGGCGGCCGCGACAGCGCGCATGATCCACTCCAGGTGCCCCAAAGAGGCCTTCAGGAGCTTGCTCCCCCCCGCCAGCGTAGACGCACACCCCGGTTTGATCTTCTGCGGTTTCCAAACCAGAGGGCGCCCGGGGGAGGAAACCAATATACCTCTTGCCATTGTAGGGTCCGTAGCACCAATGATGTGCCCGCCCTGCGTCCTACCAGCCCCGTCGAGATCCTTCGATGAATAGTCCGAGTGGCACGCTCAGAGAAGACGCTCTGCAGGGATGCTCAGGAAGGTGACCGAAATCTAATGGAACTGCTTCGCTCTCCTCACCCATGCATTCGATCTCCTAATCGGGCCGACCGTGGGGTTAGGCATGATCTGCTGGGAAAACGAAATCTGGCAACTCAAATCGGGCCTCGTCTGACCTGCAAGCCAATCCCCTTGCTGAGTAGTCGAACTGTGGTTATGCACCTCGAACGGCAACGCCACCTCGTCGGCTCGGGCCGATCTCCTCGTTCTGGCTGGGCTGACCCCCTTGGCACGTTCAGACTGCGATTGGGCGATCGAGAAGTCAGCTCGCTGAGCGAGGACCGAGCCCGTGAACTCCCCACTGCCCGTCACCCATTTCCGAAATGGAAACCTCGCTCTCAACTTTTTTCATCGCACTGGTCCACAACTGGCCGCGGCCGCCGTCGACCTGATCGTCAACGTGCACTCCGAGGACGCCGCGCAGCGCGCCCGGCTCGCCACGGAGCTGGGCACTCTCAGGCCCCGTAGCGCACGGAATCACCGACGCCCCGTCCCTGGCCACGAGGTGGGCGCTCTCCTTCGGCACTGGCTCCCTCAGCAGGAACACGCACGGATCCATCGGGTGCTGGTCAAACTGCAACGCCTCCACCATGAACCGCTCGAACGTGCGCCACCACTGCCGAGGCCGGCCCGTGCCCGTTGACCACCTCGAAGAGCTGCTCCAGGTGGTGGTCCTTCATCGTGTAGTCTTTCGGCATCGTCACATAGATCGGGCCGTTCGGCCTCGCCTCCGGCCCTGCCACCAGGAACGCCGACTGCACGTCGCCGATCGTCATCTCGAACTTACACGACGCACGCGTCTGCAGAAGCATCGCCCGCCGGTTGGTGGACATGGTGGGGCTTGCCGTCCGCCCCTCGCGCACCAGGTCCAGAATGTCTGGGTCCTCGAAGCCTTGCAGGGTGCACCGGCACTTGACCTCGCCCCCGCCGCCATCGGCGCGACGCAAGGTCAACGCAGGTCTCAATCGCAAGATCCGCTCTGGCACCTGAGTCTTCAGCAGCCTCGACGTCTCCAGGTCTACGGGCCTCCAGGCCGCTTGGTCTCGTGCACCAAGCTACCCATCTCCTTCTCGCACGCCTTCTCGACCATGGCACGACCCTCGAGCGACCTCCACCCCCCATCCTTCAGATTGATTTCCATGCTCCCCTGCGCGAGCAGGACGTCCGCCGATTCGACGAGCGGCGGACTTGGCAAGCTTGGGGGATAGGCGACCCCGCCGACCCGCTGTCCGCTGGCCGCGCTCTGGTTGTCGCCCAAGTGGTCGACGGTCGCCTGCCCCCCCCGCTCGGGGCGCTTGACCTCCTCCTGCCCCTGGCGGTCCTCCACCATCTGGCCCTACTCAGGCATGTGCGCCTCGTCCAGCGTCCGCTTGTCCACGGTCTGCTTGCCTCGCAGGCGTCGTCTCTCTGGTGGGCGCCCCGCCTCGCCATCGTCCGCTGCTTCCTGTTCGGCCGAGGCCCTCTCGGAGCCCTCAGGGTGAACAGCTGCTTTCGGTTCGCCTGAAGCCCTCTCAGAACCCCCAGGATGAACTGGCTCGGGAGCTGCCGGGCTCGGAGGAGGGGCCTCCTCCGCAGCGGCCTCAGGCGGCCGCTCGCCCCCTGTGATGTCTTCAAACCTCTGGCCGCTGTAGTGCCCCAGGTCCACCATCTTGGCCCTCAGCTCTGCCTCCACCATGCGCCGCGCGTGTCGCTCTTCTCGCGCCGCTGGCCCCATCTGCTCGGGCGACGCTTTTACCGCCGCGCCCGGCAGCGCCGCCCAGTTGTTGCCTCAGACCTCGCCCACGCAGATGCCTGGCCTCCATCTGTGGTGAGCACGCCTCCTAGGGATGCCCTTGTTCTTCACTTTTTCGCCGCGCGGCTACCATGTCGCCGGGCAGGTGCTTGGCCACCACTCTCGGTCGAGAATCCAGCGCTCGCTGCGCCGCCAACTTGTCCTGCTGGATGAGTACCTTCACGCGGGCTATCGCCCTCGCCCGCGCCTGCTGCGCCGCGATCGGGTCGTTCACGATCGCGCCGATGGCGATCAGGTCCGGGTTGCCCTTCAGCAAGTAGCCAGGGGCCTCTGGGTCGCGACCGAACACCATCTGCATCGGCGACGCCCCTGTCACAGAGAGGAGGCTGTTCTTGGCCAGCACCAGCCCCGTCACGCACTCGCGCCACTCAGTCTCCGTCTGGGGCTGAGCCTCCCGGATGAGGTCCTCCAACATCATCTCGAACAGCTGATTGTGGTGCTCGATCTTGCCGCTCTCCTCCTTCGCGCCTCCTGCGGTGTCCACCACCTCGATGTCCTGACGTTCGCACCAGCTGGTGAACTCGTCGCTCACCTGCGCCCCATGAGGGCCCACCTTCAACCACTTCGGCCTCAATTGACGAAGCCACGCCAGAGTGAACGCCTCGGTGAGGTTCTTCGATGTCTCCGTCATGCTGATCATTGGTGCCCATAGGTGAGGTTCTTCATGTCTGCGCATGCCTCATGCCTCATGGTGAGTTTCTTCATGTCTCCGCAGCGAGCTCGTCTCGTCGATGGTGCCCAAGCGCGCGATCCTCTCCCCAGCGATCCAGCCGGGCATGTCCTTGCAGCCCATGCTCACGCATTTGAAAGGGAAATGCGCCTCGACCAGGGCGCTGTGCCGAGCCACCTTCGGACACTTCATCCCCACGCACTCTGGACAGTAAAACTCGTAGCCCGCCTTGATCGCCTGTTCCGTGGCGCGCGCGTGCCTAAGGTGTCGCACCAACACGTTGTTCTTGCAATGTCCGGGTTGCACGTGCAGCTTTCGGGGGCTGCTCTGGATTGAACTATGAGGCCGACGTAAGACATCCCTCATCTCGTCCGCGTCCTCCTTAATCACCTCGGCGCCCTCCTCGCCCTGCACTGCGCAGCGCCCAGTCTCGGAGCTGGGCGCCCCCGCCCGGCACTGCCGTCGCATGCCCCGCGCGATAGCCTGCGCCGGCCTCGGGGGGGCTCGCTGGCTAAACGCCGCGCGCTTCATCCCGAACTCCAGCATTCCTTCCGCGTGCTGATGCTCGTGCCCGCCGCCGCATCTCCTTCGCACCGCTCTTGCCACCTCTGGGGCCGACGTCGCGAGCACCCAGCTCTTGGGCATCAACTTGAGAGCGCCCGGGCATCTCAGGCCAAATTCGCAACCGCTCGCGACGCCCACGCACGCCCCGGGCATCCTCAACAACTGCCTCATCACGGGCAGCCGGAGACCGGCACATCCGGGAGGGGGGGGGAAGGAGGGGGGGGTCTCGGAGGATGGAGGGTTTGGATTTGGTCTCCCAGCTCGCCTTCAGGTCTTGCTGAAATAGAACCGACGCGGCAGCTCGGGCGCCCGTCGGCGCCACTGGGCCACCTTGAAGTTGCCCTCGCACCGCAACGTGCCCAAGGCCAGCGCGCCCGCGGGCGTGATGGTGAGCTGCCCAGGCTGGCCGGGGACCCACCCCGCGCCCGCCGTCGCCACGCCCCTCCGCCCAGAACACCCCCGCGATCAGCGCGATCGCGTCGGGGCATCCCCGCCGCGGGCAGGGGGGGCGCCCCGCGCAGCGCGGGCTCGATCCGCAATCTGGCGGGCTTGGGGGGGCCTGCCGCGGGCGCGCTTCGTCGGCGGGCCCGGCGGCGCGTCGCCGACCCCCATGGCCCCCCGCGGCTCGCCGAGGCCAGGGGGCGGGCGGGGCCCGCGCCGAAGCACCAGGCGCGAAGCCTGCGCCATGGCGCTCGAGCCATGACAAGGAGGAGCTCGGAGAAGGAGGGGGGGGGGCGCGTGGGAGGGGCGGCGACCGCAGGGGGGGGCGGGAGGAAGACGGACGAGAGAATCTTGGCAAAAGGAAAGGGGGGGGGGGCGACGATGGGGATGCACGGAAGACGGTGGGGGAATTGCACGGAGGACAAACGCGGATGCGATGCGCCATATTCACAAATCACGTGGCCAGCCCGAGTCGTTGCCACCTTTCGAGGCGCCGAGGAAGCCTCGAGCGGGGAGTTCGGATGCGACTGGCGGGAGAGGAAGCCTCGCCCCCCCCCCCCCCGACCGGGGGAGGAGAAAGGGGGCGCGAGGGGGGCGTGGGAGGGGGGAAGTTGGTGTGTGTGTGTGGCGAGTGTGGGTGGCTGTGTGGTGTGTGTGTGAGTGTGTGGGTGTGTGTGTGGTGTGTGTGTGTGTGTGTTGTGCGTGTGTGCGTGTGTGCGTGTGTGCGTGTGTGCGTGTGTGCGTGTGTGCGCGTGTGCGCGTGTGCGCGTGTGCGCGTGTGCGCGTGTGCGCGTGTGCGCGTGTGCGCGTGTGCGCGTGTGCGCATGTGCGCGTGTGCGCGTGTGCGCGTGTGCGCGTGTGCGCGTGTGCGCGTGTGCGCGTGTGCGCGTGTGCGCGTGTGCGTGCGTGCGTGCGTGCGTGTGTGCGTGCGTGCGTGCGTGCGAGCGTGCGTGCGTGTGTGCGTGTGTGCGTGTGTGCGTGTGTGCGTGTGTGCGTGTGTGCGTGTGTGCGTGTGTGCGTGTGTGCGTGTGTGCGTGTGTGCGTGTGTGCGAGTGTGCGTGTGTGCGAGTGTGCGTGTGTGCGTGTGTGCGTGTGTGCGTGTGTGCGTGTGTGCGTGTGTGCGTGTGTGCGTGTGTGCGTGTGTGCGTGTGTGCGTGTGTGCGTGTGTGCGTGTGTGCGTGTGTGCGTGTGTGCGTGTGTGCGT